ACTAGTTCCACGGTACTGGGCTCTCACACGTTCCACTCCCTAGAGCCTCCCGTATACTGGTCAAAGATGGGACTCACGGCCCTGACAGCTCGACTTGGAGCAGCATGGATGCAGAACCTGTTGGGCATCCGCACGGTGCACGTGCTCTGCTCGCTGCGGATACTCGCCGCAAGCTTCTGGCCTGCTGGGGGCTGCCATCGGAGGTGTTGGGTCAACTCGTTCTGTCGGCTGCAGCTGCGACCTGCTGTTATAACATGTCAGGAACACCCACGTCCTGTCAGTGATCAGGCTATGCGATGGCTTCCTTGTTGGGGGCTCGTCGTAGTAGTTTCTTTGGGGCAAGCATTGGAAAGCAATGCCCGAGGCTACGCAACACTCATAGTCATACTCATCCTCCTACCACTGGGGCAGGGCAATCCCGACGGCGACGACGAAAAGAATACCACTGGAGTACTCCTGCTTCTACTAGTAGCTGGCTACTAGTTTTTAGATAGCTAATCGCTACCAACTACTAGTTGCGAGTTACTAGGTACTACTGCTACTACTGCTACTATGCTACTACTTACTACTGCGGTTACCGCTACAACACTCTCCCCCCCCACTACAATACCATGTTCACCACCACAGCTACTACCGGAATCACAACAACTGCCAGGACGACGAACGAAACACCGACGATAACGCTCACCACTACTGCGATTACTGCAATACGACAACAAGTCTTGCTTACTACCACGACGACTTCTAGACTGAGGTACGAGTGCTACGGTAAGGTCCTAGTGCTAGACCTGTTCAACTACCATGACGACCAGCCCTGCACTGCCCTCCTCTTACTGAAACTACCAACACTATCTTCTGCTACAATTCCCAACCGTCAGCAAACTCTAATTCCCCGTTCTTGCTTGTGCCTGGTTGCGCACATTATCATGACTTCCCTAAACCCTAAACCGTAATCATAACTACCAGTTCTTCCTTTCTTTTCGACGGGTCGGCCCCGGAGTACCCACAACAAGCAATCGAACCGCAGCCCCGTGGTAGAGGGGCTGGAGAAAGGCACTTCCGAAGGCTTCTATGCCTTCCATTCACACGGAAGTGGCCTCCGAAACTGTTCACTGAGGCATGCACTTGGGCTCTCCATCATCGGCATGGCCGCGGCATGGACTGTATATCTATCAGTCACAGCCAGATTTGGGTAGGGGCCATAAACAGTGAGAGTCGGATAATCAGAAGTCGGCGTCTGCAGGAGTCAGTTGGCCACCTTTAAGCTAGAGTCGTCTCTTATTGTAGGTTAGCCATACATCCCAAACAGCCGTCCCGCAGCGACCATGCGCCGAGTTCACCCTGCAAAGCGACCTCAAACGAAGGGTTCGCCAACATGCTGCGTCATGAGGTGCGCACCAGCGCACATCAGAAGACTTAATTCGAGTTTACAAAACCCTAGAGCCTATAGACAAACCACCCAGCGTCTTAGCGTTTCCGCGGCAAGTTTTAGAGATGCATCGAAGTGGGAATCCCGACCTGACTTAGGCTGCAGGCCTTGTGCCTCAGTTGTGACGCTCCGACTTGGCGTTCATAACTAAGCCCCGAACCTATGTATATATATATATATATGTATGTATGTATGTATGTACGTACGTACGTATGTATGTATGGATGTATGTATGTATGCATGTGTATGTGTATATATATATATACACACATACCGTCTGACCTATGAATGGAACCAGTGCGTGACCCTGCAAACAGACTTTTCCATCGGCCGCATGGGGTGTGGGGATCTTAGCTCGGCCGCTAGCATTTGGGAGCTTCCGAAAATGGGGGACCCTGATGTAGCAATGTAGCACCCTAAATAGTAGGATCCTTACTAAAAGCCAGCAAATAAGGGGTACCCCTAATTTTCGGAAACTCCCATTTTCCGGCAGGAGACGCCATGGTAAGATGAGTGTGGGGACTTTGTTAACCCTTCTCTGTCTCTCTCAGGCATTCGACACTTTGTTAACCCTAAATCCTGTAAACCCTGAACCCTAAAGTTATCTATGGGTACCTTGCTCCGGGCTCCTGATAACAGAGATCCTAGTCATCGGGGTCTGTGTTGTGATCCCTGTTCTTGTGGCGATATGAGACGCACTGCATGCAGCTCCCTTAGCATGGATCCCCTAAGCCGAAGGATCACAAGAAGACGCCGCTGAAGAACTTGTGTTTTTTTTTTTGCGGGCCCTTTGCCTTCAACCGAGAAAGCCTCTAGAATTCCTTTGGGAGGAGCGTGTGGGCGAGGTCTGAGAAGTAGAGGAACTTTGGGGCTCAGGCTCAGGCTCAGGGTTTAAACGGACTTTGGGTGTTATCCGCTGGCTCCATCGCAGAAGGTTGGCGGGCTTAGCTATGATGTAGTCATCGAGCCATACAACACAACAAAGAGAACTAGAAGAAAAGAAGACTGGGTGTGGCTCTTAGGGTTTGGTGCTTAACACTGGCACCAGGCAGACAATGACAAGGCTTCAACTAAACCCCTTACCATGGTTTAAACATGCCGAGACCCCACTCATCAACTGACAGCAGCTGGCCCCCCTAAACCCTATACCCTGAACCCTAAACCCCTAAACCCTAAACCCCTAAACCCTAAACCCTAAACCCCTAAACTCTGAACCCGAATCAACCATTCTCACAAGCGCTTGGGGTTTCCTTTGCTAAGTGGCAACTGAGAAACCTCGGGCATGAAAGCATGTGGGTGCTTGTCAAGATTATGGCCCCTTTTGGGGTCCTTGTTATAAGACGGCACCTAATATTTAGGGTACCCAAAAAAGGGCCCCAAATTTGACAACTACCCATATGGATGCCCTAAACTCTAAACCTACATAGAGCAGTCCTGACTAGGTCCTAGGCCGCCCAGCAGGGCCTCAGCACCGACTCCCTGAACCACACGACGCCATGAATCCCGAACCCTGTTGCATCACGGACCCTACGAGTTGACCTGGAGAAACCTAGATTTTGAGGATTCTGCATTATGAGCTCGTTAAGAAGAATATCTAAAACGGTAGGTTTTCCACATGTATCGACATCCCTGGATGTCTAAGCCGGGTGCTTCTTGGGCTCCTCACAAAAACTTTGAGGCCAGAGCCCGGACCGCACGGGAACCGGCGGCGAACAAGCCGCTGCTGTTGAGTGAGCCGACCATGCACCATGATGTACCAGAGGGGCTTGAATAGTTGTTTTTTAAGGGGTTCTGGCAAGGGATCTGCAAGGACCCTAAACCCTATTAAACCGCATGTACCAGAGGGGCTCGAATAATTAGAATAGGGCTGGGGTGTGTTGTGATGGAACGACGTCAACATGGCTTCACTTGCTAAGAATTACAGCGATAATTGCAATAGACACGACTTCGGCGGTCATACCGGCTACAACAAAAAGAATGCCAGCAGCAGCAGCAGTTGCAGCTGCTGCTACTGCTTCTGCTGTTACGACTAGGACCACGAGCACACAGGGGCAGGGGGGTTAAGGTGCTCTTGTTTTAGGGTTTAGAGGTTTAGGGTTTTGGGGTTTAGGGTTTAAGGGCTTTTTTCATGCTTATGAAAGGGCGACTCCAGCGCATCCCGGTACGGCCATCCTGGCACTACTCGCATTGAAACTGCGCGGACGGGGAGGCCATCAACGCTTCGAACAGGCTTTGAATTTTGGGGCCTTGGCCGGTCGGCATACGTCCAGAACCAGGAACTACAGGGAACTCCAGAAAGTTGGAATATGGATTAATGGTAGGATCCCCTATAATTTACCTTAAAGGGGTTACGATAATGATATTCCAACTTTCTGGCTTCTACTGTAGGCCTGCAGTCTAGAGGAGTCCGCATTGCTTCTTCTCTCGTCGTCAGATAGCCTCTCGTCATGGGCCTTTTGCCCATAGCTCCGTTATCAGGGTGTTGCTTGAACGGCGAGGCCGAGGAATTGCCTTTAACGCATGCACGAATTAAGTCAGCAAGCTGTACTTGAGCCACTTTCCTGGGCAGACAGGCAGACAAATCACAGGCAAAGAGATGATTGGCAGAAGCAACCCCAGTACTCGGGAAATCCTCTGCAGCCTTAGCCCGAAGTGCACACAGTGTCGCAAGTTACAGTGCGACTTGTTGGTGACTATGACATGCAATAGCTAAGGCGGCTCAGGCAGCTGCAGCAAAAGCAGCTGCATTTAGTTTGTGGTACGGTGGATGGAGGAAATCTTTCACCACCTACACATCTTGTTTCGAATACACATCCAAGCAACAACCCCGCGCCCCCTTCTTAACATTGACGACAGACCTCTTGGGGCGGTGCAAGATTTATGTCATTGGAACGATTGTGTAAATCCCCGTGTTCATAGCAATGTTAAGAAGGGGGCGCGGGGTGAAGCTAACTAACATATCTTAAAAGTGGTGCAAGATTTCCTCCATCCACAGTAGTGACGGCTACCATAACAGTGACTGCCGCATGCTTTTCATGACACTGTCATGACTACGGGCCTTGACTGTTGCCCACTGTTGCACAATTACAGGTCTGCGTGCAACAGCTGGGAGAAGACTTATGAACAGAGTAGGAAGACCAACAAATATATGTACAGGAACACCACACAGACACAGCCATGATTATCGCATCGACTCCAACGACAATTCTCAGCAACAGCCTTACCTGGCTTCTTCATGATCATCGTCAACATCGTCTTTGCAACGATCAGTGCGCCACTGTGCCAGGGCTCTGGCCGCTGTGGAGCCAGCGATCTGTTTGTCGTAGGCCTTTGGTGATCCCAACCAAAACACCCCGATCCAGCCAGGGCTGCCGCGAGACGGTCCAGCTTGCGTGTTGCTGCACTAGGGGCAGCACTAGGGCTGCTGTTCCTACTGCTGCTGCTAACGCTAGAACCCTAAACCCTAAACCCTAAACCCCTAAACCCAAAACCCTAAACCGGCTAGTGCTGCTGTTGCTGCAGCTGCCACGGCCCCTACTTGTCGGCAGCGTCGCCCCTGCCTCCAGGATCCTCATCCTCGGCTGGTTCTGGACTCTTGCAACTCGAACCCTGAGGCCCACGGATTTAAGGTTTAGGCAAGAGAGTGACAGGCAGGAAGCTCAAAAGTCGAATCCTTCACCGTTGACACCCCAGAGGCTCAATATTGCAGTTTTGGGGCACGTCAACTTACCGTTTCTTGGCTGCTGTGCGTCTTTAGTGCCTGGGTTCTCTCGAGCTTAGGAGGGTTAAACGCCGGCTGTTCTGAAGGAGGGTTGAGTTTGAGGCACCATATGAAGGCATGTGAAGAGTATCAGCGTACCACAGGTTTGGAGCCTCGGGGGGCTAAATGCAGCAAGCTCCCACAACAGTTGACCCGTTACAACTGCATAAAAACCGTCACAAGCCAGGCGACAAGAATCTGGAGAGACACGCCCAAAGAAGGCCCTGTCAAAACTTTTGTATGCGTGAGTTTAGGTCGCAAGGCAAGCATCCTTCCGAGAAGCCTTCGGTGCCTCATAATGCAGGCCAGGCTCGTGCTGGTGGTACGCACATGGCAGGCATGGCCTTTGTTGGGTCACTTTTGGGGGTCCTGGTGGGTCGCAGGAAAGCAACCGGAAGGGGACTTCGAAGAGGGACCAAGTGACGAGGTTACGGTTTAGGGGTTAAGGATCAGTGTGGCGAACATATTTCGAAAGACTGCTCGCGCCCTCAAAACGATCCTGGCGTGCGCAAGCGCAGCCGAAAGAATACAGCAGATAACAAAGGAAAGCTCCTGCATCACCATGCACGCCGTCAAAGTCTCTTGTGGCTGCCACTTTCCACGTTACTTTGCCCTGCTCCTCCGAGTGGCATGCTTGCTTGCCTTTCGTTTATGCGATCTCGACATGATTCAAAGTTATTAGCCCGGCGCAGTGGGACGTGACCATCACCGCAACCCACAGAACCTCCTTCGCATGCTTGAAGAGGAGCTGATTAACAAACTCCACGCTGCTGCATCGAGCTGCTTTATTTAAGCATTGTTTTTGACGCACCAGTTCAATAGTTGTGGTCTTGCTCAGGAGCAATGGCAAAGCACCAAGGCTGGTGGAAGTGACCGCCATCGTCCTGTCCTACCTACTACAATGCTAGCTGTCGAGAACTTTTCAAAACGTTTCCGCGCTCTTGCCCCTAGCCAGCCCATCACACAGGTCAGAGACAGCTTGAGAGCTTGATGAGCATTCGAGCTTGAGAGCGTTCGATCTCAAAGCTTTCGAACATCAACGGCTTCTCGAAAGCAGTCTTAATTTTCGATGCCTTCGCTTCTCTAGTTGAAATCTGAATCTGGTCGCACACTGGAGTTTACTCCGACAAGCTGGGCTCCTTGCTGCCATTCCCGGCCCCTCGACGGTGTAGGTGTTGATTTCAAGATGCAGGTTTGGAGTTGGGGGAGGGGAGAGTTTACCGCACTATGGCTGGCTGAATCCAAGCCTCCAGATTCTAAGGGACCATGGTCAAAAGATGCCTGAAGGGTCACCCAAAGGTTTGACAGCTGAGGGTTGGAAAATGCCTGAAGGGTCACTCACGGGCTAACAGAGTTTGATTTCAGGCTATGTGGGTTTCCGGAAATAGGGGATTCTAATACAGTATCCCAAATAGTAGGATCCGGAAAAGGACCCCAAATTAAGGTACCCCTAATTCTCGGAAAATCCCATATGGCTCTGCTGACCCACTTCTCCTTTCACAGGTCGAAGGGTCTCGGGACCCTCCAGCTTGCGATTATCGGGTGGTTCGGGCGTCCGTGTAAGAAAGACTTCCCTCAACAACCGGAACAAAGACTGGCTTATTGATCGACTCCCATGTGATATAATCGGCAAACACAAAGCAGCGTTGGCCGACAAGCAGGCCGCACTCGAAATTGGTGGCATGATGGCATGCTGGCAATGATCAACCTGAAATGGCTTAAGCAATGTAGACCCTTGACTTACAAACTCCCTCCCCTTTCTTCCGGGGGATCTATAATAGTCTTTCCGAAGTCGAGACGATCGCGACGACGGTGAAATCCTGAAACCCCAAAACAAAAAGGTGTACGCCTAATGCTAAAGCCTTAATCCCTAAACCGTGAATTATTTTTGTCCGGATCCCCAGTGCCTGAGGGCCCCGTAGGTCGAGGAGGTTCTGTCTTGACAGCACGTCTGGCGCACACGCCTCAGGGGTGCATTAGAAGCCTTCATGTCTGGTTTCGGGTTTCGTCATTTGTTCGTTTCTTGGTAATCATTAGTATATTTGCTTTTTGGTGGGGGGGGGGGGGGCCTCTGGAGCACAATTTGGGCATGATTCGGCACTCCGGGTGCTTTCGTTTCGGGCTCTTCAGCTTTGAGGTTTAGGGCTTAACTAATTACCCTGCGCCCCGAACCTAGTCAGTCTGATCCATCCTGTTAGGCCTTGACTTTGGGAATTTTGGGGACTGGGAGTTTCTGTCATTCTTCACGTGCTGACCGAATTAATCGGAATATTTCGCCGGTGGAGCCACCAGCCTGACCCGGACACAGAACCTTGTATTCTCCTTGCGTTGCGAAATAGCGCAAGACGTTAGTGTGAGCACCTTGGACCAGTAGTGTATGATTGCACGAATGCCACTGAACATAGCCATAGCAGGCTTCGACTGATTCGGTTTCAGTAGCAGTCGTTGTTGGCGCTCTGTAGCTGCAGTCACGGAGTGGTGGTACAAACAGCAGTAGTACCAGAGTAGCATAGCAGCAGTCGTGGCGTCGTCGCAGCAGGAAGGGCAGTAGCACTATGAACTACAGTGACTACAGTGCTGCTAGTAGGAGTCTTCGGTCGGTCTTCGTGACGGCTGTTGTCCTTGCACAAAGCATCCCTGAGCGCGCCACCTCGATACCAAAAGCGCCTCGCACATGCGCATGTGCTGTGGACGATACTTCTTCATGTGAAAAGGCGCAGCGAGCCCGTCGTGTGCTCTAAGACAGGCAAAAAAAACTAGAAACCTGAAGCCACCCAACCCGAATCCCTGCACCCGACAGCAGGCCTGCATCGTTGGGTCCGTTCTTCCCATTGGCCCTCATGGAAGTGAAAGCTGGGTGCAGGAACAGGCACTCTCGAAGTCCATGGTTACCTTCATCTCTGAGCCCTCTGCCCAAACCCCTTTTGACATCGAAGCATGAGATTTTCAAAGCCCTGTATAGCCCCTGCGGTTCTGGGCATGCGTTGAAAGGGTTTCTAGTACGGCACAACGGTGGGAGGTGGTCGAGAACGCGAAGCGAAGGCGCACGCATGAAACCGTTGCAAGCCCGGTCCAAAGTCCTTCTGAAGACTAAGACCTATGACAAGCAACTGTGGCGGTGCTTGAGAGGTCTAAGAATCGCGCAAGGCGCCCCAAGCACCGGTCAGCTTGAGGATGACCTCTTTATTTACGAAAAACGACGAATGCTCAGACTACGGCTGATTCCTGCTGGCTGGTCGTAGCAACAGCTATACTAGTAGTAGCGGGCAGTAGTCGTGGTAGTATTAGTAGTAGTAGTAGTAGTAGTAGTAGTAGTAGTAGTAGTAGTAGTAGTAGTAGTAGTAGTAGTAGTAGTAGTAGTAGTAGTAGTAGTATAGTAGTAGTAGTAGTAGTAGTAGTAGTAGTAGTAGTAGTAGTAGCAGTAGCAGTAGCAGTAGCAGTAGCAGTAGCAGTAGTAGCAGTAGTAGCAGCAGCGGTAGTAGCAGTAGTAGCAGCAGCGGTAGTAGCAGCAGTAGTAGTAGCAGTGGAAGTAGTAGCAGTAGTAGCAGCAGCGGGGGTAGCAGCAATGGTGGTGTTGGTGGTGGTGGTGGTGGTGGTGGAAGAAGCAGCAGCAGCTGCAGTGGCAGTAGCGGCAGCGGTAGCCGTAGCCCTAGCTTGAGTGGCAGTAGTAGCTGTAGTAGTCGTCTTCGACGTAGTCGTCGTCATCGTGGTCGCAGTGGTGGGGGCGATGGTCGCAGTGGCGGCGGTGGCGGTGGCGGTGGCGGTGGCGGTGGCGGTGGCGGTGGCGGTGGCGGTGGCGGCGGTGGCGGCGGTGGCGGCGGTGGTGGCGGTGGTGGCGGTGGTGGCGGTGGTGGCGGTGGTGGCGGTGGTGGCGGTGGTGGCGGTGGTGGCGGTGGTGGCGGTGGTGGCGGTGGTGGCGGTGGTGGTGGTGGTGGTGGCAGGCGGTGGTGCTGCTACTACTGCTACTGCTGTTACTACCGAAACAACTGCTGCTACGGCTACTACTACTACTGCTACTACTACTACTGCTACTACTGCTACCACTGCTACTCCTGATACTACTGCTACCACTGCTACCACTGCAGCTATACTCCTACTGCTACTGCCACTGCTACTGCTACTCCTACTCCTACTGCTACTGCTACTGCTACTGCTACTACCACTGCTTGCTACAGCTAGGGCTGCCACCACGACTGCCACCACTACAACTACTGCGACTCCTACAGCTACTACGAGGACTGGCTACTACTCCGCTACTCGGACTACTCCTACTTGCACCGTTGAGACTGCTTGTGTCTCTAGCCGACCATGAGGCTGCAATTTACGGTGTTCTCACGGTGCGATGCTTCCGCTTATTAGTATCGTCGTAGTTCCTTCTGCAGCTGTGCTACTGCTAGCACTGCACATATCGGATGTACTCCACAGTGGCAGTTGGCATTTGCAGTGGCTTGCATCATGGGTATTACATAAGAAATAATCCTCATAACAACCCTTATAATAGAACCCCTTTTTCTAGAAATTCTAGTATGCCTCATCACAATCCTCATCTGGCCCTGTGTTGACCGAGTGGGCGGCAGATCGGGGGCTGTCCTGGGCTTTGAAGTAACCAGGGAGAAGAAAGGCATGGACTTTTATTTCATACCCTAAACCCTAAACCCTAAAAGTATTAAAGTGGTGTCCTTCTTCGTCTCCGGTGCAGGAGCCGGCTCGGCAGGTGGCACCTGCCGAGGCGAACCCAAGCGTTTAGGGTTTCGGCGCTCACACTCGGACAATCCAGGCGAGGTTTAGGGAACGCAGTTGTACAGAAGTTACTCACTGTTGAAGTTAAGCTAATTAAGTTACTAAACTATACCCCAAAACCTGAGCATAGTTATATTAAGCTCTACCCCAGTGGCCCTACTCTTCTCGCACCATGCAGGGTTGGGCGGCCAAGGTTGGTAAATACGCTGAGACAACCATGAACGAAGGCAGAGGGTTTAGGTTCACGGCTTAGGCCCAGGGTTCATATTAATCTGCAGTGAAGAACCGCCTCATACCCTTGATAGATGCAAGATACTTGTTTGAGCTGATGTGCTGAGGCATCCTTTGCTCTGTCAGCTGTGACGGAGCAGATATCCGAACTTGCTAGAGGGCGAACTGGCCATATGTACTCCCGCCGAGACCCGAAAGGAAGTTTCCGAGAAGAAGGGACCCCCAAATATAGACCCTGAATATTGGGAACTCGCACACTGCCATCGTCCACAGCCCGTTGGACTCATTAGCACCTGACGCCATTTCAAAGACAGGCTACCAAGTTCGCTGAAGCTACTAAATCGGCCTGAAGAGCCCTCAACACACTTATCGAAACCTGAAGAGGTGCGACTCCCACGAGCCCTCGAAATTAGCAGGGACTCCGCTGCCCGATCGAGCAAAGATGGTGACGGCCGTTCTTCTGACCCTCAGCACGCCAGCAGGAGTCTCAAACCCCAGAAGTATCCATACAACAGCTGTCAACCAAGTATGGATCTCAGCAACCCAAAAGCCTAAACCCTAAACCTTTTTACATCTGGACTTGATGGATGCCAGCACCCCACTGAGCACAGAACCGAGGACTCTGCCCAGGCGCCAGCACTTGAACTCTAAGCCTAAACCCATTAAAGAATCCCCTAGGATCCGCTTGTAGATTCCCTGCCCACCCCCCATAAAAGCCTGCGTTGGCGCTGGCACTGGAGATGGGGCGGTTGGGAGGGAGGCCATTGGCACCGTTGACATCGGTGGCGGTGGGCCTGGCAAACAGGGAGGAATAATAGAGGGGCCTTAATGATTATGATAAGGGTTTGCGGCCCGTTGTACTATACTTATAAGAAGGAACCCCCAAAATAGTATTGGTAATTACTTGGGTCCCTATAGTAGCGAGTCTCCGTGCGGTTCTCTCAGAAGCGAACTATGCAGCACGGCTTTATCTGCGGCTGCAAGCGTCGCTAGCGGCGTATTACACTGGGCGCGTCCGCCAAATCAAAAAACCCTAAACACTCAACCTCCATCCGGACCCACATCACACAGAGATGTCCACTGGGGCTTTGAAGACTTCTGACAACAGCTGGTGTAGTAAAACGGCAAAGTTCAGCAGCATTGCTCTTACCGATTCTTAAATGTTCTTACCATCCCTCCAATGGCACCACTGGTGCTGTCATACCTATTCCGGTTAGGCCGCCCCCCAGGCAAGGCGGACTGGCGGCCCAGCGTGGTTTGTCAAACCTTCCCCTTCTGGTTGCTGCTAATTTTGTTCGCACTGTTATTATTGCTTTTGCGCGGATTTGTGGAAATTGGCTCCATGAATTCTGCAGAGAAGTGCGCAACAGAGTGTACTTGAAGGTGATGGGAGCTACTAGTCGCCAGGTTTGCGTCGGGTATCTGCAGCACACAGGTTGTGACCCTAAACTCTGGAACTGTACTATAGGGGCCGTAATAATTAGAATAGGGTTTTGGGGCCCATTATACTCTAGTCCCCAAAATAGTATAGGTCATTATTGAGGCCCCTATAGTGAATGGAGATCGGCAGGGCTTCCTAAATAACGCTTCTTGTATTCAAGCACGCATGCGCAACTGTAGCAGGAGACATGCTGTTCACAAAGCAAGTAAGTAAGCCAGCTAGCTAGCAAGGGATCAAGCAAATAAGAGTCCGAAGCAACATGTTCGGCTTTGCACCGGAGCTCTACCCCACCCAGCCCCCTAGTGGACCCTAAACCCTTTTGCAACTAAATCCTCTACCTTTTTCGGGTTCCGTATTATGATTTCCTTATACAAGTCCTTACAAAGGTAGGCCCTTCAGGGTTAAGGTAAACCCCAACCCAGCCGCCTAGCGGAGGCGGGAGGCTCGAGAGGGGAGGCGGTCCAGCGGAGAAGGGTGGCACGCCAAGAAGTTCCGGTAGCCTGGGCCGGGAAGGGCTGAAATGTTGGGCGCAGGGTTTAAGGTTTTGGGTTTCCTGGAAGAGCTGAAATTTTCGGCACAGGGCTTAAGGTTTTGGGTTTGGGGGTCTGGAGTTTTGGGTTTTGGGTTTAGGGGTTCAAAGGGGTTTAGACTCTCACAGCTCGGGCTTAAGGTTCAGAGTCTGGATCCGGCTGACGAATGTGGGAGCTCTGTCCTACATAGAGTACCGCTCTGTCGCGTTTAGCGCAGCACATCCCACATCTCCCAACTCAAAACTGCGGCCCCCACATCCCTGCAGCGTGCGAAGCCACACCCATAACTTGCATGTAGTACCCTTTTCCTGCGCAGCACCCTGTTCCTGCGTAGTACAGACGGCGACTCAATCTCCGGTAATGGCCCGTCAGATGTCGGACTAGTCGCGAAATTCAGGACAACCGAATCTGCTTCTGGCACAAGACTGGCTCCGGGCACCCTCATCTTTGGGTCATGCACATCAGCCCCGAAAAGGCAGCAGATTCACCGGACGTCCTGCTCTTCCTCATGCAACGACATATGTACAGACAGAAGTCTCGCTATCGGGCATCAGAAGCTTCCTCCCATTCCGAACCATCCCAACTAGAGCAGAGCATTGTCGCTACGAATTCACTCTTGTTATGAAAAACAATAGCTTAACACCTGCATGCACGTCATACATATATCTTGTAAAGGTGTGTGTGTGTGTGTGTGCATACAGACAAACGTACATACATACCGACCTGCATACATACATCACCTATATATGTACATATGTTTACATATATATGCATATATTTGTACACATCTAGCCATGCATGCACAGGTGTAGTTATGTCTATGCAAGCATGTATGTGAATGTTCCCCTGTTCTCATGTATATGAAACTTCATGCATGTCTAATCGCAGATGTCTGCTTGTGATTGTGCATGTGTGCTATCTCGCTTCATGTTCATGACTTGCCAGACATGTCTAAGTGCATCGTATGAGCAAGAGAGCGATAGGGCCTTCTACATAAATTGCATGAGATACGACAGCTTTTATGTCCTATCGAACTTGTCGCATGCGAACTAGCGTCCACGGCATTGACTTGGTTTGCTACTTATTTGCTTCTTCAAGACTTTCCGCATACGCTGTGGGTATGAGCGGCATTCATATGCCCAACGAGAGCTCCCTCTCAGGTGATGCGTCGCCGCCCAGGACGGGCTCCACCCAAGAAGCCCGGTGTTTGCAGCCTTGGTTGGACTTCTCTGAACTCTAAACCACACCTCAAGTCTGAAGCCTAAGTTCTGCAGCAGTTTGCCATAAGACCGGTCTCAGATCAATCCGAATCCGCCGGAAGAACCACAAAAGACCTTGTCCCAGCCCCTTTGAGTCAGCGAAGTGCTGTGAAGCTCTGCAGAAGGCGCGCGGACGGCCTCACTGCAAGAGCGAGTCAGGACGAGGTTCTTGTTGGAGAGCTTTGGCTGTTCGTGAGTATCGATCGATGCAAGGTGCGGGCGAGAGGATGGGATCAAATGTATGTATGTATGCGTGCCTATATATATATATGTATATATGTATATATATATATATATATATAGATATATATATATATATGTATATGTGTGTGTGTGTGTGTTTGCGTGTGTGTGTGTGCGAGGTATATATCTGTATAGATAAATGTATATACACACACACATATATATATATATATATATATTTGAACCCAAGCTCTGTTCCAATATATATATATATATATATATATATAACATACTTGTGTTCGTGTGCTTGTCGCTCCCTCTGTCCGTGTGTATATGTCTACAGATGAAGGCATGATGTCGGTGCTCCGGTGGTTTATGATAATTTCAGAAGCTTTTGTCGCAACATTGGGAGGCAGTCTGACGCTATAGATTTACAGTCAGTAAGGGTTTGGAACAGAAACGTGAAAAACAGAAATGAGTCCGCATGCAACGATTTCACCAAATGATTCCTTGAACCCGTTGTTGGTGCAACAACGGCGCCTTTCGGGTGGGCTTTGGATGTTATAGGATGGGAAAGACGTACACTGATCTCATAACCCGAACACCTTAACACCCGTTCTGACAATTATAGAGCCTTAGAGAACCTTCTAAAGCCCTTTCATGAGTTCTCCTTGCCAGAAAACTGTCGGGAAGCCTCACAAACATCATGCTACTAACTGCTTTGGCCGGTAGAAACCCTCTACAAGCCGTTGACAAACTTTAACACGTAGACTCTGTCGTGCAAAAACCCTCCAAAAGCTCTACAACAGTCAATATGGCCCTCACAAAACCTGCACACAAGCTGGGCTCTTCCCCAAAACCCCAAACCCTAGCCCTAAACCGTAGACCTCATGTCAACCCGGCCGCTGCCCTGGAAGGGTGCAGGGCTCGCTGGCGCCGGAGGATCCTCTCGGGATTCGGTGCTTGAAGGAATTCACCAAGGGGCCGTAATGCTTACAAAAGAATTCCTTTAAGGGGTTCCTTGAACGGGATCCATACTGCCCTGTTTGGGGCTTGATTTAATGAACAAAGTGTCGAGGTGGAGGTGCTTAATACAACGCTCCCAGCCAGGAACCCTTAAGGAGTAGCATTAAGTACTCAATTCGGGTTTGCGGCCGGGTTTAGGGCTTCAGGGCGCTTGGGGGCGCGGAAAAATCGGGGAGGCTTGTGGGGGGTCTGGGGCTTTCGGGGTTGAGGACTTTGGGATTTCGCGCTTTGAGGGTTTTTTTCGCTTTGGGAGCTCATAGCTGCGGAGGGTTCGGGGAATCGTGCATGGAGCTATTTGCTTTGGGCCTGCTCAAGAGTTTCAGGGGTTGTGGGGCCCTGAAGCAGGATGCGATTTAGGGTTTAGGGTTGTGGGGTTTAGGGTTTCGGGTTTAGGGTGCAGCGGTGTCAGGTTCAACTTTCAAACGTCGGCTGCATAGACTCGGCGTAGATCAATGAGCATGCCCTTTTCCTGTACCCTGCGAACATCACGTCAGTAGCAAGGCACTTACCTCCCACTAATACTGAAAGCTCAGCCCCAAACTCAAAAGGCAGATGAAAACGAATGATACTAATAATACGAATCATCAACAAGCAAAGACACGGGCCCTCCTTCTGGGACCAACGCTCGACATGCTGTGAACGTACGAAGAAGTCATCTTCGCCAGCCTGCGGAGTGATGGCTGGGGATCGAAAGAGGGCCGGGCATCTAGCAGCATAAAAGCACAGAACTAGGGTTTAGGGCTTGCGGCTTAGGGTTAAGGGTTTACGGCCCGACCCTTCGACTCCCCACAAGATTTTAGAGAACAACCTCCAATGCTCCGAGGACAAAAAATGCCCCTGCACCCTAAACCCCCAAACCCGTAACCCCTAAACCTACCGGGCCTACCGGCCTCGTCTCGGTTACCAAGCCTGGCAGGGGATCGGGATCTGCACCGGTTGCGCCCAAGATCGGCGCCTGCGCAGCGGACGTTTCCATGACAACCTCTTCGCCTCTCGCCCGCGCTCCGTCGGGTAGGACTGCAAACACAAATAGGTGGTGGTCAAAACTATGGTGCCTTTTTGTGTCCCTAATATAATACGGCAGATAAAAATTAGGGGTACCCAAAAAGGGACCCCTATTTTGACAACCACCCATACAAGTTTTACTAATAAAATCACATTACTCATTACTCATAATGGTAGTAATAGTAAATAATCGTATATTATATTTGTAATGGTATAGTGGTAAGTCGGAATGGTTCAGATGCTCCCCCCTGAGCCTTCGAAGCTGTAAGCCAGTCCGGGAGGCTGCGATGGGCGCGACCTCCGATCAAACTCTGGGGATTTGCTATCTTCCCGACACGATGACGACGAGTATTAGGTTAATCATCACGACCATCTCAACAGTAGCAACCGTCATGACTAGGTCATGGTCCTGGAGATACTACGGACCTTTGAAATTGCCTTTCGGGGTGACAGCGCAAGGGAAGGAAGCCCCAAAACCCTAAACCCTAAACCCAAAACCCTATACCCTAAACCCTATACCCTAAACCCTAAACCCTAAACCCTAAATCCCCAATCTTCAGCCCCCAGCTCCGACAAGCGGCAGCGGCGCGCCAGCCAGGCGCCCCGGGCCGGGAAAGCCCCGGAGGACCTCTTGCACGGAGCCACCCACCTGTGGGGATTTTTGGTGCATAGGGTTTCGGATTTAGGGCTTAAGGGGTTCAGGATTTTTCGGGTTCAGGGCTGAGGCTAGGGGCTCAGGGTTTGGGGTTTAGGATTTGGGCGCTCGCACTCAGACTGTCTACACGAGGAAGGGGCATGTACCCGCAGAATCGGGATGGGGCTTGCATAACAGGGATTAGGTGTCCGCAGGATCGGGAAGGCGGAGGCTGCATTATAGGGATACGATTTTGAGGTGTAGAGGTTACAGGTTTGGCTCCACTGGGGTTTTATAGCTAAAGGTAACTCTAGTTCTGTTCCAGAATGCCCCAAAGCCAGGTACTATTAGTTTATTCACTTCCCCCATCCTCCTAGAAGAGCTTGGGGTCGCCATGTGGGGGCTTTTGGTTTTCGGATCTACCTTCTCCAGCAGGGCCCATAGCCACAGAATTTGAGGCTTCAGGTTGCTTCTTTCAAAGGGGAACAGGAGGGGCCCTTCATGGGGACCCCTACCCTATAATGGGCATATAATGGGTATATAATAGCTATAGTAAGGGTCTATATACCTAGGGGTCCTTAAATTAAGGGTCCTTCCTTTTACCCTTGGATTCTTGGGTTGGGTCAAGTTGCAGCTAGTCGTTCCCAGGGCAAGGCGAAAAAAGCAGGAAACGGCCAAGGATGCACGCAGACCTTCCAAAACCCCTTAATTAAGGAATAGACCTTAAATAATCATAAGCCCCCTATAATTTAAGGTCTAATCCCTTAGTTAAGGAATAGACCTTACTTCATATTAGGGCTCCTACTATGACTTAAAGTTAAAGTCTATTCCTTAATTAAGGGGTTTTTTCAAGGTCTGGGCAA